TCTGATGAGTCCTTTTGGGCAGCAAAGCTGTCTCTCCATCTGCAACTGAGGAGATTAACCCTGAATTCCTCAGGGCCTCTTTGGAGTCAACAGTCATTCAAGACTAGTGATTCATCATGAATCCATCCTTACCCATCCTCTTTACTCTAGATCCGTGGTTGAAAAACTGCGGCTCATGAGCCACATGCAGATCTTTGGCCCCTTGAGCTTTTAGCAAAAGCCAGCTTAGTAGTACCCTAATTAAGTTAATAACAATGTACCTACCTATATAGTTTTAAAATTTGGTTCTCAAAAGAAATTTCAATCATTGTACTGTTGATATTTGGCTCTGTTGACTAATGAGTTTGCCGACTACTGCTCTAGATCTATAAATGCACTCAAATCTCAGGAGTCCCTAAAAGGTGAGTGCCAAGTGCAGCCCACAAGACAATGCATCACATACCAAAAGAAAGACTTGCTTTTTCTAATTTATATAGACAGAAATCCAAAATACACATGTGAGCATAGATATCAAAAGTATGAGATATTGAATGTAGAAACATAACATCGGGTAAGAATGGGCTTACTGATGTGGGCCAATTAAGCAAATATCCGGCATCTAATGTTGCATTTAATCCTGTAGTTAATGTCGCAGGTTGGGGGTTAGGAAGTGATTCAATGTTTTGTTTGGCTGATGCATGGAGCAAAAGGTTGCCCACAGTGAATAAATGTGAAATTCCAGACCTGCCTTGGCTATTGCAGAGGCAGGAATTGAAAAGCTTAGGGAAATTGGAACGCTAACACATTTGTCATTGAAGACCTACTCACTCACTCAGGCAGGTTCCAGAGGACATATCTTTCACCATGACGTGGAGAAGCAAGCTTCTAATGGGAACTCCTACATCTTCTCTGCAGACCAGGACCTGTGAGAACTGCTCCCATGGAATTGGGGAATCTACATGCAATAGGAATAATTGGATCCTGGGATGACAGGGATGGGGTGGCAGCATTCAAAGGCAAGGTGGGTATGACTGCTATAATGGACAGCAGAGGTAAAGCAGCTTTCTGAATACTGGGACATGCTGAGACATGGTACTGGCATTGTTCCTACAAGTGAAATTGATAGGAAGACTATGAGATGCTTACTTGATCTGTATCAGCAAAAAGTTCTAGTAAACACAAGTTTAACCTGAATCATAAAAACAGGAAGTTTCAGCCCCTCCATCAATTTCCAGACTCAAGTTATAGACCCAGAATCTCTTGGAGGGAAAAAGGCCTGGTCCCCTTGAGCAAGGGGCACATTATACTATAAATTACAAAAAATAAAATATATACAGTTAATCTTTCTTCCAGCTTTCCTAAGAAGATTTTACTAGGGTTACTGTGCATAGGGGAGGGAGGCAATGAAAAAAAAAGCAGAAAGTTAGGAAACTACTGGACACTGGCTCTGAACTGACACTAATTTCAGAAGATGCAAAAGATCACTGTTGGTCGACCAGTCAGAGTAGGGGCTGAAGGAAATCAGGTGGTCAATGGATTTTAGCTCTGGTACATCTCTCAGTGGGCCAGACAAATCCGCAAATCCAAACTATAATTGTTTTCCCAGCTCTGGTATATATAGTTGAATAAATTGGAATAGGAATACATACTCCATAATTGTGTGTATATATTCGTATGTGTATACACACACATACATAATATATTATAATTAGAATAGCTATACTAAGTTTATCTGTAAAGATTCCTTGAGTTTCCAGCCTACCAGCCTACACTGCAGATTTTGGGCTTGCATATACACAGTCATATGTGATAAATTCCTTAAATAACTCTCTCTCTCTATGACTCTCTCTTCATCTCTCTCTCTCTCTCTCTCTCTCTCTCTCTCTCTCTCTCTCTCTCTCTCTCTCTCCACACACACACACACACACACACACACACACACACACACTATTGGTTTTGTTTATCTGGAAAACACCAGTTAATAGAGTATCTGTCATATCACACTGGGCATATCATAGATCAATCTCTTTCATTTACACTTTTAAAATGTATTCACTGCTCCCATCTTTCTCCCTTCTTTGAGCTCTAGAGAAAACCATTAAAGTCAATTTGATGAAGGTCACCTTTGGCTCACTAACTGCTCAAACCAGTACAGGCTTTTCAGTCATTATTTAATTTGACTTGTGGAGTTTGACATTTATCATTTCTTATTCTTAAAACTTTCTTTTAATTTATTATCCATGAAACTATCTAATTCTTCTTTATCTGCTTTGAAGCTGAAAATCAGAGTTCTCACATATTCTCTGTAATTCTTTTTTCTAGGGTGTGTTACCCACTTATGTGAATTTGGCTTCCATCTCTATACCTATTATTCCTACGTCTCTGTGTCTACTACCCCAGTTTGCTCTTCTTGAAAGGATGTCAAAATTAACATTTCTTCCCTTTAAATATAACAATTGCTCAGGCTAATGTCCACTAAGCTGCTCAGAACACTCACACCCCCATAACTTTCTACATAAATAAATTATTTTATATTTGAACCTAGGGAAATCAAATTTTCCTCTCATTAAATAAAGCTCAAATGATGGGTAGTATACCAAGTAATGTTTTTCATAAATGCTCTAATTGCAAAGAATCAGTTAAATATGAAGCTCAATTATAGTAGTTTGGCTGATTATTGTGCTTAGTCTTTTTGTACTTGTTTTTTTGTTTTTTGTTTTTTTAGCGTCACATACTATATTATTAATAATACTTAACTTTTCTACAAACTGTCTCAAAGTTTTTCTATAAAGCGCAAGAGCATGAATATATTTATATATGTTTACACACATATAATGGCTTAAATTGGTCCCCATGTTATATTACTATTCCCATGTCTAGAATCATTAAGACAGAGTTAATTAAACTTTAACCATTTTTCATGTGAAAATAAGATTTTGGCAACTGTTGTTTCATTTGCATTGGAAACTCACAATGCCTCAGAACCCTGGGTTCATATTACAACTTACAGATGTGGGGCCATCTGTCTGTGAAAATGTCTCAATTTAATAATAGGCTCAAAGTCATACCTCTTTCTTTTTAATCTATTTATAAATACTAACTGATCTTTTTAAATGAGTTGGATGAGTTCCATTCTGTCATAGCAATTACAAAGGTGGAATTCTGGAATACCAAACAAAACTTGCATAAGCAACTCCTGGCGCCACTTTACTTTTGTCCATTAGAAGATAAAAGCTACTCTATTTAGGACAGACTAGAAGTAGTTTCATTAATTTTTCAACAGAATGTCCACTTTCTCACCTCAAAATTGAGCATCTAAAGGCTACTGTTCTGCTTTAATCCAAATACCAGAGCTTCCCTTCTCATCAGACGTTCACCAGGAACCTCTGCTCCCTGTCTTCTGTCATCAGCACCGTTGAGATAACTGACTCTCATGAGGCAGTTTTAGAGCTGTGCTACTCTTCCATTTGTCTTGGATTTCAAAACTCAATCCTCAGATTAAAATTAACACGTTTACCGGCACAACATGAACCTATCTCACCATAAAAATGTTTTAGTGATTATTATACACTGGGTGGCCAGATTAATAAGATCTCTAAATGCATAATAATCTGACGACTCAGTGTATTGATATATTTTGTATAATAAAAGGCTAATATGAAAATTGTTCCCTTAATCAGGAGTTCGACCAGCAGGCAAGCCGACCAAATGCCCATGTCCCCTCCCCCTGGCCATGAATTCGTTCATGCATGGGTGGGGTCTGGCCAGCTTGGACAGGGGGAGGGGACATGGGCATTTGATCAGCTTGCCTGCTGGTCAAACTCCTGGTTGAGGGGACAATTTTCATATATATATATAAGGTTTCTACTTAAGGACTTTCTGTACCATATTATTCAATATTCCTTGAATACCTTTCCAAAAAAATTCTAAAAATGTACTGCAAAACATTATGATCGTAAATGCATCTTTTTCTTGAGCCTAACATTGAAATCATGACTCATTATATTTATCATTAGTTTAGGATTCCAGAAAGTTCAGAGGACTTTAATGTTCAAGAGACATGCTCTCCTATATTATCAGCTACTAATACCCCTTTTACTATGGCTTCCCCTTTCTGTCCTTGGACTTCTTTTAAACTCTCTTTATGCATATCTGCTTTTTTTTGTTCATACCATGGCAAAATCTTTTGGAAAATCTTTTAGAAAATTTAAAATCAGAATACAATGAAATATTTACTGTTCCAGAAAAAAAAAAAAAAGTTTTCTGGTGTCATTGATAAGTTCTATCTATTCTAAACATTAGTAAAACTATTTTATTTAAGGAGCATAACAGTAAAGCTTAAATGGGATGAAACAGACATTTTCCATCATCTATTTTGTGGTGAAAAAAAATATCCATAAACTTCTAATATGACTAGAAAATTGTGCACTGTGCTGAAGATCAATGTGTATGTATTTGGGTTCCAACATTTTTTCACCTGACCGTAAATAGCTTCACAAATAGCTTGCAAAGCAAAGCATATAATGAAGAAATTATTTATAAAGGGTGAGCAAGCCAAGTCAAATACTCCAGAACCACAATGCTAATTATATGTCATGTTTGTAAGGTGAAGAGGGAGTAAGACAGCTTGGTCATTCAAGGACACCAACAGCAATTTAGAATATTTATACCTGGTGATTTTTTACATTCTTCTTTCAGAAATAAACAATTTCAGGATGAGTTGATGTGCCAAAGGAGCACTATTAAAGACTTATATGGTATATTTTAACTTTATGTTTAGCAAAGAATATAAAAAAGGAAAAAATATATTAACCAGGGATCATTCAAGTTAAGATAGATTACATTATATTCCCCGAAGCTTACCCGGGCCACTGAGTCAGGAAGGAAAAACAGGTTTCTTGAATTTGATTTCCAGTGTTCAAGTCACTGGTGTGTCTCAACTCCTGCACAAAACACACCCAACACACAAGGCATCACACACCCCTGCTATCAAGCGGTTGTCAAAAGAAGCAGGCCATTACCTTTCCCACATACTGAGGCTCGGAGCCCATGTATTCTTCCAGCACAAAGAACTGGTTCCATACCCAGCCACGTTTAACTCGTTGGAAATGCAGGCGCCGCCCTGGCAGGTGGGTGACATCCTCTCTTGGCTCCGTGGCTAACGTGTGCTGTGGCTGTGGCTGTGGCTGCAGCGGTGTTAGGAGGCCTCCATCAAACAGGACCCAGAGAAGCAGGGATAGGCAGTTCCTTGTAAGCATTGGCGAAGGTGTTCCCGCAGCAGGGTGATAAAAACTCCAGCACTTAATGTGGAACTGTGGGATCCAGGTTTGAGGTGTCTGTGGCCTCCCCGTCTTAGCTTTCTGTTTTATTGCAGAAATGATAATGCAGGCATTAATCCTTTTGATGAAACGGCTTCGGCAGTATTATATTCCATCTAAAGGGACCTATAAAACAGATTAACAGAGATACATTAAATGGCTAGAATCGCATGATAGTCATCAAAACTCTCATTATGGCTGGCAGCATTTGAAGAAACAGAGAGGGCTTTTTAAAAAATATATAGTGATAAATGTTCATTGCTATTCAACCTGTTAATTTTGTTAAACTAGGCTTTTTATAGACTGAGAAAGTATTAGTGGCAATGGAGCAAAAGGTGTATCCTACACAGAAGCAATATTTTGTTTAATTCAATAATAATTTTAGGGATAAAACAGGGATCACTGATTTTAAAGGGAACTAAGAGTGAGGTTTTACATTTCGGGTTGGATAATTCTTTGCTGCTGGGAGTTACCTTGTCCATTTTATGATTTTTTTTTTGGAAGCATCTTCTTTCCTCTGGTCAATAGATAACAAAGGAGCATCCCCCCCACACCCAGCATGACAAACAAAGATATCTACAGACATTATCAAATGTCCCCTGGGAAGAACAGGCCGAGATTGAGAACCACAGATTTGCAGAATAAGAGAAAACACAGACAATTTTTTAAAAAGCAAAATGTTCCCTAGTAGATAACACAAAGAATAAGACCATTCAAGAAAACAAACAAAAACAAGATAAATTACTAAATGTAACAATAAATGATCTTAATAAAATATAAACTATTATTAAACTGCCAGATGGCTTTACAAGCTTTAAATTATCAATAAAAAAAAATGCTCTCTAGCCTTGAATTCCAGAAACCCTAGCTATGTGGGAATTATTTTGTAGAGTATGTCCAGCTCAGGGCAATATTGGCTCCCTACCAGACAGACAACCTCTACTCGGCATATAGGTAAAATGAGCTTTACATTTCTCTTTAGAGCAAACATCCCCTCCCCCCTTCATTTATTTAAGGTTTATTGACTATCTACAATATAGTAGGTCATCTGTTATACAGTAGAGAAGAAGACAGACGTAATCCTTACCTCTCTTAAATCAGAAACAGCAAACAAACTACCAGTTACCAAATTAACAAAACTGGGTAAATGTGCCAATGCTGTAAAAATAGGCAAGCAGAATGTCCTGATGGCAAAACTTAAATTAGCAAATTCAATTTGGTGAAAGCCTGCGATATGTGACAATTATACTAACAGCTATAGGAATAGGGGCATCCTTGTATTTTGCAAGCAAACGGGAAAGACATGGCTTGATTTAGGGTGGGTTTATATTTAGAATTAGGGGGAAGAGTCCACAGCCTATGAGGTTTTCAAGAGCCAGATATGTTGGAGGCCGGAAATTACATATACCCTATTTCCCCGAAAATAAGACAGTGTCTTATATTAATTTTTGCTCCCAAAGATGCGCTAGGTCTTATTTTAGGGTATGCCTTATTTTTCCATGAAGAAGAATACGGTACACATTTATTGTTAAATGAAAATAAAGGAAATTTATTACCTGTATATGGTACGGTAGTACAGTAGTTGTCAACACAAACCAGACAAACTGTGAATCCTACACTATCAAGAATTTACTCATTTATTCAATGACAATCATGTCATCATCTTCTGGAACATCATCATAACAATCCAATTCCTGAATTTCCTGGTGAATTTCTTGTGACTCCATTTCTTTCAGAATCAGTGGACCAAATCTCTCATGTTTAGCCTAGGGGGGCCTTATTTTCAGGGGATGTCTTATATTTCACTCAGAAGGAAACCTGTAAGTAGGTCTTATTTTCGGAGGATGTCTTATTTTCGGGGAAACACGGTAATACTTCCAAAATAAGAGAACTGAAATCAAAATCAATGCTTGTTTAATTAAATGTTTATAAAGAATGGCATTGTGTCCACCTGTCCATTCAGTTCAATACTTATTCAGTTATATATAATATAATAAAAAGTACAATGCACTCTTCACAGATATTGAAATGTCAACATTTAATGTGAAAGCAATCCCCTATGCTTGAGACAAGATGTGAGATGAAGTGTTATCCTCTAAAAGCATTCTATAAGGACACTCAAAATAAGATATGGCATTTTTAATAATCTGAATGGATGAGACTTTTAGACAGAAACATAAGTAGTATGTATTTGATTGCATCTTTTCAATCTAGAAAATTAATGTTCATAGAAAGTTAATTTTGCCTATATTGTCCAATATTGTAGCCACTACCCATATGTGGCTATTTGGTTGAAATGTGTCAATTTGAGATTGTGACAGGCTCTGCTTTCAAACTGTGTACCAGAATCCAAAGACAATAGAACAACTGAGATTTTAAAATACCTCATTACTCATTTCTATATTTATTACTTGTTGACATGCTAATATCATCATAAGTAAAAGTAAACTATTATGTTAATTTTATCTCTTTTTACTTTTTAAAGTGTTCATCTACTAGAAAATTAAAATTATATATGCAGTTCACATGTGTGGTTGGCATTATTTCCTGTTGGACAGGACTGATTTAAATAATAGAGTTCAAATCACAGGCTGTGATTTCTAGTTAAGTCATTTATTCTTAACATTCAAAATGGAACTTCAGACATGAGCTGTATCATGCCTGTGTGACGATATATTTAAAAGGTCAGAGGATATTTGCAACTGTTTTCAATAAGCCTGTGTAAGGTCAGTGTGCACATTTCCCTCATCTGTTTTCAAGTTTAAATTGCTATCAAGGACATCCAGTATGTGTCAATTTCTTGACCGTTCAGTATCTTCTATGATTCTTCCTGTACTTATGCAGTCCTCGCTCAGGCATGCTCAGACTCATGGGGAGGAAAACACCAATAGAGAAGATGAAGAGTAAGACTTCCCAAACCTAGTCTTGTACATGGAGCAAATTAGATTGTATTTCTGCCTTTCTATTCCATGGCAATTTTCCCCGCCACTTTTTATAAGGTGTGAAGTATGGAATTTTAAAGAGCAATGGCACCTAAGGTTATTGCCCTAAATAAAAGTCTTTTTATTTTATAGTAGAGATTTTTGATATTGGATGTCTGGGTATTTTCATCTTCAAGGTCACCACTCTGATTCCAGCTATCCTTTCCCCCTTTTTAGCCAAAGGTGTCTAAAATCTGAGTTTGAATCCCTACTAGAGTAACCTTTTAGAAATTCTAATCTACCCATGGCATTCCTCACCTGGTATGTTAGAACAATGTGAGGGGATTGACTAACAAGTGATTGATAAGTAGACAAGAATCTATAATAATAAAAGCATAATATGCTAATTAGACTGGACACCCTTCCAGACGACCTTCCAGACAAAGCCTGGGCTGCAAGGGAAGCTGGGTCCCGGGCGCCAGAGGGAAGCTGGTGCTGGCAGCCAGGGGAAGGCCAGCTTATTCTTGCATAAAAATTCATGCATCCGGCCTCTAGTGTGAATATAACATAAAAGTGTGTCGTTTCTTAAGTTAATTTCCCAGCACATTAAATATTTACATCATGGAAAGCAGAAACTACACACAAAATATTGTAATTAGGGCTCAAGTTAACAGGAGGAATGCAGCATGGAACAGGATTCCCAGTTCCCTCACACACACATTCTGCTCTCTCCTTTGGCTCTTGTTGAACATGCTCTACCTTAGCCTGCTGTGTTATCTACATTTTGTGCGTACATTTCCCTCTTTTTCTTTCTCTAAGTAGGCTGATCCTTACTTATTCCTGCCACCAAATCACTTTTACCATTTTCCTTAAAATAGAATCAAATGTTTACAGAAATAGTGATCAGTGCTTTCCTCTTGTATGTTCAGCACCTGTGCAACTGCTCTGCGAAGGAGAGTCTCCCATTATACAGTTAAAACAGGAACACAGCAGTTAAAGGACTCGAACATGGTCCACACATTAACACCTAGAGGCAGCTTTGGAGTGGGGCAGTCTGCTGGGGAGCCCATCCTCTTGGATGCTGTCCTTGGCTGCCCTGTATTAGTGAATGCGTAAATATTGATAGACATCAAGGCTTCCAAATCTTAGCAAGACAAGCAATGTGAGTTTAAAGACCTGAGTTCTGTCCTGACTGGTTTGGCTCAGTGGATAGAGTGGCCTGTGGACTGAAGTGTCCCAGGTTTAATTTTGGTCAAGGGCATGTACTCTGGTTGCAGGCACATCCCCAGTAGGGAGTATGCAGGATGCAACTGATCAATGTTTCTCTGTCATCAATGTTTCTAACTATCCATCTCCCTTCCTCTCTGTAAAAAAATACATACATACACACAGACATACACACACACACACACACACAGCTAAGTAGGTGTTTCAATACTGAGCAGCTTAATTTTTCTTAGACTCAGTTAAGTCTTCTGTAGAATGAGAAGCTCTAGGCTATCAGATCAATATAGTTTCTCTGAAGTCGGGGTACTCAGGACTCCCAGCACTCAACGACCAGGATATAAAAAGAGACACATAATTCTAGGCAGAGGCGGAAAAAAACAAAATCACCTAAAAGCAATAAGTGACAAGGCCAGGATGGTAACAGGATTGAATGGTGGCTGAAAAGTAAGAAACTGTACAGCAACCCAGCTAATCCACCCAGCAAGGTGCTGGACAGGCCACGGGCCCTGGCCTAGGTGCTGCTCAGAGGAAGGTGAGCGGTTTCAGCTGGGCAGGCTTCCTGCAGTTCCCTTGGACCAGGGATGCCGGGCAGGGGTCAGTCAGGGGAGAAGGCGGCTGGTCAGACCTCCTTAACAACTCCAGCTTTGGGAGTCAAGTCCAGCCTTGGTATGCACAAGTCATAATAAAATGCATGAATAAAAAGATGGGCTCTGAAACAAGACAGATCTGAGGAATCATTTCTCCTGAAGTCACAGCATTGTTTTATGCTCAGTGAAATCTGGTAAAGTAGCATGTGCATTGTGGGGGCACAATCGGCAATGCTCTGTGGAGCTATATCCGTGACACAATAGAATACTTCATATTCCATCACAAATGTAGTGTGTACGCTGTGTGTTTTGTAGCCCGTGTTATTGCACTAGATCCTAAAATCCCTTCCAAGACTCTAGCACTGCAGCCCCTCCATGCCCAGGTGAACAG